GGGGGGGGGGGGGGGGGGGTAGTGTAGTGCGGAAAGTCTCCTGCGGATGAGAGGATCATCGAGCGCAATCGATCGGAGATGTGCGCGTGGATTTGTATTGCTCGATTCGAGAACCGTGTACGATCGATTGCTAGAAGTCGGCCCCTGTTTTCACTATTCTTCTTCTTCCGTCTTCTTCTGGTCGTCATGTCCATCCAGGTGCTTCTTTGAACCCATTTGTAGGCATGGACATGTAGCGATCGGCCTCGCTGCTGCATTCCTTCGTCTTCTTCTTCTTCTTCTTCTTCTTCTTCTTCTTCTTCTTCTTCTTCTCCTCCTCTCTTTCTGTCTGTCTCTCTTGAGCAATGGTTATGTCCGAGCAGATCTTCTTCTTCTTCTTCTTCTTCTTCTTCTTCTTCTTCTTCTTCTTCTCTCTCTGTGTGTCCGCCAGGAATTGGCCTTTTTCAGTTTTGAGCAATCCGTCAGCAGATGTGGTGAAGACATCATTTTTTATGCTAGGATGGGTAGCGATTGGCCTTTCCGTTTTTTTTTTGTTTTTTTTTTTTGGTTAGCGTTTGGCCTCAGTATTCTCATTTCGCAATTGTTGGCGTTGTTCTTTTTCCTTTTCGACCTTCCTTCTCACAGCTATGGAGCTTGAGGCACGCAACAGCACACAACGGCACACGACGTGCTCATCTCTCTCTCTCTCTCTCTCTCTCTCTTCTTTTTGAAGTTTCGAGATTACCTTTCTTTCGCATGGTTGCCGCTTTTGTCGTGGCTGCATGTTGAGCGTATGGTCGGTTCTGACTGATCCTGCTGTTTCTATCATCCTTCTCAGTGTCTCACCATTGTTGTTGTTCCCTCCTCTCTCTCCCCCTACACGTGTGCTGCTGCTTCTGCGTTGTCCTTGGGCCTCGATCCACCAGTCGGCAGATGTGAAAAATGGTAGAGGATCTTGAAATACTTTTTTTTTTTTTTTTTTAAGGATCTTGAAATACTTAAATACAGAGGTAACAAAATAAATACACTCAGCGGTCTTCTTCTCGTCTGGATTAGTGGGAGAGAACGACGCCCGTTCTCCTCATTTTTTCCGATGATACGTGTCTCTGTTTTTTTTTTTTTTCCCTTTTCTCTCTCTCTCTCTCTCTCTCTCTTTCACTCTCTTTTTTTTTTTTTCCTTTTTTTCCTCTTCAAGTCTTTTTTGTGCCTGTATTATTTTCTTCTTCTGTTTAGATTGCGTAAGGTGTATTCGAACGCATGACCTGGTTGTTATATTAGTTAATAATAATATAATAACAATGGTAATAGACACAAAAAAAAAACAAAAAAAAACAGTGGTAATAGCCAGATGTGTTCGGATGTGCGTGTACTTCTTCGGTTCCTTTGCTGCTTTTTTTTTTTTTTTTTTTTTTCTTCTTCTGTGCCTCTCATCTTTCTCTCTCGCTTATGGTCGGTTCCTAGAAGAATACCCTCCACCTCGTTTCCTCTATTTTTCTTTCTCTGAAAAAAATAATAATAATAAAAAAATTCTCACTTTATTGCGGACGCCACATTTTTGTTCCTTCTCCACATCAACGTGTTCTCTTTCTTCCTCCATCGCCGCCATCTTTTTTTTTTTTTTTTTTTTTTTTTCAGAGAGTGCACCACTGTGGGAGGTGATAAGAGCATCCTCCCGAAGTGGCCTCCCGGTTTCTCTCGCTCTGGGATCTTTACTGTGTGTAAGTTCTTTTCCACGTGCCAGGTGTCATTATTCCCCTTTGCTTTGGGCATGTCATACTTCGATCTGTGGATCTCCATCTATTGAATAATAATAATAATAATAATAATAATAATAATAATAATAATAAGAGTAATAGTAATAATAATAATAATAATAATAATAGAATAAAAGTCTATTCTATAATTTCTATTATTATTATCTCCATCTATTGGCCGGGAGCTGTACCTTGGGGTAACCCCGCCAACAACCCGATTTGATTGTGCTGAACGCTCTGGCGGGAAGCAGCTCTTCTTTTTCTTTTTTTTTTTCTAAGCTGCAGCTCTAGTGGCTCCTCTGGCAATCCCAATATCAAATCGAATTAAACATCAAATTCAAATCCCAAATCAAATTCACATGAAAAAGTGAAAAAAAAAAATACAAAAAATCGGAAAAAAATCGAAAAAACAAATCGAAATAAAAATCGAAATAAAAAGAGATAATTTGCAAAATTCCCCCGCAAGTTAAAAAAAATGCCAAAATGACCCTGAAAGATGTGGGTAGAGCGGAATGCTCCTCTGACAAAAAGATGTTTTGTGAAATACCCCTGGCATCGCATCTTTGCAGTATACACCTACAGGGTGCCGTCCAACTTTGCAAAATGCCCCAGTACTTGCCAACTTTCCCTAGGCGCGATTGCAAAAGGCCAAGGCCGAAACGGGGAGGTCCAAATTGCAAATTTTCACACCCGCCTCACAGGGGGGCATAGCACAAACCTTTCGGCTCAAAAGGGCATTCCGCTCTACCCACGTTTTTCAGGGACATTTTGGCATATTTCTCAACTTATGGGGGTAGTTTGCAAATTATCCCAAATAAAATTCGGAATAAAATTATAAAAATCGTTTTTTTTTTTTGTTTTTTTTTTTTGGATGTGTACTTCCTGTTCTGCTCAATTCAATATCTTTTTTGTTTGATCCGCCAATTCAATATCTGATCCGTGATTCTAAGCTGTATAAAGAAAAGAAAAAAAAAATCTGATCCGTGGTTCATTGGGGAGAAAAAGGAAAAAAAAGGAAAAACATAAATGCATGTCTTGCGCTGTGATGTGGCCTCGTTTTTCCACTACGGTAGTCGATATAACTCAAAATGGCCAGAGTGAAAAGGGGAAAAAAAAAAAAAAAAGGAAAAACGAGAATGGCGAGTGTACCTTGCCACTAGAATGTGTCAAGATGCATTGGTGCAAAATGACCAGAGTGAAAAGGGAAAAAAAAAAAAAAAAAAAGAAGGAAAAACGAGAATGGCGAGTGTACCTTGCCACTAGAATGTGTCAAGATGCATTGGTGCAAAATGACCAGCGTGAAAAGGGAAAGAAAAAGAANTGAAAAGGGAAAGAAAAAGAAAAAAAAAAAGGAAAGGAAAAACGAGAATGGCGAGTGTACCTTGCCACTAGAATGTGTCAAGATGCATTGGTGCATTTTCTGATTGGGTGACTAATGGACTGACGTCCCGACCCTGACCCTCCCATATCGAATCGCGTCCAGGTTTTCACGTTCTTGTCCACATGTTTGTTGTTTTCTCTTTCCAAGTTCTCCCAGAGCCAAACCTCCTAGCACTTTTTCAAAAAAAAAAAAAAAAAAAAAAAACCTCCCACTACTCCATGGGCGAGGTCCCACTAGCAACATGGATTGGATTGAACGCCTCAATCTAGACGTGTTCCAGGAAAAGTGCAGAAATTCGAGATTGAACAACTTTTCTGCATCTCTGCTTAAAACACGTCCAGATTCAGGAGCTTAATCCAATCCTCTTTGCTTTGCTAATGGGACCTAGGCCCAGGACTCGAACCCGCAACCTGCCACATACAAAGGCGGAAGGAACACGTCTTCATGTCTTTTTTTTTTCTTTTTTTTTCTTTTTTTTCCCGTGTTAGTTCCGTTTTCCTGGAAAGTCATTGATCATTAAACCTCACTTTGAGAGAGAAAAAAAAAAAAAAAAAAACGAACTGCACTTTCCTGGTGGCTTTGCGCTGCTTCTATTTTGCCACGTCGCTACTTCCTCCTCTTTTTTCATGGCAGTCTTTTTTTTTTTTTTTTCCCGCCCAAAGTTAAATGAAATTATGGCAGAGTTTAAAAAACATAGAAATAAAAAGTATGGCAGAGCGTTCTCTTGTCAAGGTGTCCAATTCGACCACGTCAGCAAGTTGTCGTCCACGTCATCAAATATTCATACACGTCAGCAAATTTTCAACAAGTTGTCGTCTACGTCAGCAGATTTTCATCCCTGTCAGCGAGTCGTCGTCCACATCAGCAAGTCTACGTCCTCGTGAGCAAGCCGAGTCGTCGTCCACGTCAGCCGATTTTCATCCCTGTCAGCGAGTCGTCGTCCACGTCAGCAAAGTTTCATCCACGTCAGCAAGCCGTCCCCTTTCGCCGTCTTCCACGTGGGTTGTTATCCTTGTGTCTTCTTTTTATAATCTTTTGACTCTCGAGTATTTTATAATAAGACACAAGATTAGTCATCATGGAGCGTTTCGAGAAATGTTTTTGAGTGATTGGGCGTCATGGAGAGTTTCAAGAAAACGTTTTCAGCGGCGGATGAAATGGAAATTGTACTCGGAGAAGAATGCGTGCGCCTTTCTTTTCTCTTTTTTTCTTTTCCTTTTTCTTTGTTTTTGGAGGAAGGAGGAGCGTCGATGGGTTGTTATCCTGGGGCAAGGTCCCACTTGCACGGATTACGAGATTCTGGCCGTTGATCTTTGCTATCTACGGTCAATATCGCTTAATTCGTGTAAGTGGGACCTAGCCCCTGGTGTCTGATTATGTCTAGGCTATCAGAGTGGCCCCCGGGACACTTGCCCGGGCGGGCCCCAAAAGGGGAAAAAAAAGAAAGAAATAAAATGTTTTTTTTTTTCAGCTTTAATTTTTATTTAAAATTCTGTAAGGAATTTCGATGTGACCCTGAGGCAAAAGTTGTTCAATTTATTTTTCCGCATCACATAGGTTGTTGTTGTTTTTTTTTTTTTTTTTTTTTTTTTTTTCGAGGACCTTCTTTGGCCCTTGAATGGCCGGGCCGCCCGGTTAAACGAAGTGACCCGGGCGGCCCGGCTGGTAGCCTGGTTTTTGAGTGATCAGTCGTCGTCGTGGAGAGTTTCAAGAAGTCCTCTTCAGCGGATGAAACGGAACTGGTA